CTCTTTCGGTCTTTCCCTCGGAAATCCCTCCTGGAGCTGTCAGGCTATCGGCAGCAGAGGAGGTACGCCAGCTTTTGGGGAGGGACGGATGCAGCGGCCGGGGGGCCCGGCAAGAGCATCGAGAGAGAGACCGATGTCTCCCAGCAGGGAGGGACGGATCCTGCCGGGCTCAGGGCCGCATTTTGGGAGGGAGGAGGGTTGGAAAAGCTTTGGCAATAAAACCCCAGGCGTTGGCTGGGAAGGGAAAGCAGCAGTCAGTTTGCTTGCCGGTGTGGCCAGCGCCTACCCCACCGATTCCCACTCCCTGGCTCCGAAGCCAGCGCTTCCCAGCTGTGCGGCGTCTCCCCGGTGCTGGGCGGCCGGCTCTGCCCCTGCTGCTGCCCTTTGCTAATTACATCAGTGCTGGAGTTTCACCAAAAAGCCAACAACCGGCAAAAAAAAGGCTTAAAGCCTGCAGAAAGTGCAGAGCCGGGGGGGCTGCGGTCAGGAAGCCGGGGAGGGCTGTGTTGCGAACACTGTCTTTGCTTCACTTCCAAGGTGGTGCTGGATTTCGGGTGATCCTAGAAAGCGTTGGGGTTATGGCAAGGAGAGGTATTTTTAGATCAGTTTTAATGACAACGTCAGCCTTTTGTTTCATTCTGCTAAGTCGATTTTATGGCAGTCTTGAGCAAGTTCTTCCTTTTTCAAAAAGAAAGCATTTTGGAGATAACTGGGAGCATTGGGACAGCCGGGACGTGAGTTCAGAAGGAATGAGCGCAGAACCGGAGTGTACCCCGGTGGAATGAAATGAAACATTTTGGAATGAAAAAACCAAGCAGGTCCAGTGCTCACAGCGGGCTCAGAAGCAGAACAGGGAAGAGCAAAGGGGTTTGAGGGACCCGTTTGGTCTGGGCCATCACCGGTGCAGCAGTTCAGCTGCACACCCAGGCCAACCCCAGGCACGAGGTGGGGCTCTCAGCCCAAAATGGTCCCAGTCCCTTTCCCGGGGCCACCCAGGGTGCTCTCCAGGTCCCTTGCTGCTTTTGGGTGGTTCGCATTTTGCGTTTCTTCCGTTCCTGGGAAGCTGCAGGAGTGGAAGGAGCATACAGCCAGTCCTGCTTTTCTCATGGGGATTTAATGGCAAGAGCGTTTTTTGGGATGAGGTTTAAAGAAACCCCATCGTACTCCTGCCTAGTAAATTTATCTGGTTTTGGGATCCTAGCGTGCTTGCGTCATCGAAGCACGTTTGCAGCCACCCACACAAGCAGGAGAGATGAGGGCTGGGAGGAAGGTGAGCTGAAACATCTGCGAGGGTGATTTGAGAGGGGCAGGGGGGAACGGGGAGTGTAAAAGCAACCACAGCTGTGGGTTTGCAGGGTGCTCCTGTCCTTGGCTGTGCTTGAACCTGACACTGGCGTTGCAGTCCTGCTGCCCAGCTCATTGGGCAGAGACACCAAGCCAACGTTGCACGGCGAGGAGACCCGCGCTGTGTGTGCTTCCAAGGGTTACCTGATGATTTTTGGGTCATGCCTCTGGTTTTAAAATGCAAAAACCTACACGGGGAAGGATGCCGGCATGTCCGACCCGACCCTCCAAGGAGTAAAGATGGTTTTGTGTCCTGAGATCGATGCCTCAGGACATTTGGGCTGCGTGGTCTTGGGTTTGGATGGTTTTGCTTTGACCACAGGGAGCTGGATGAAGGTTTGCAGTGCAGGGACAGGAGCGGGTGCAGAGTCAGTCCCACCTCGGCACAAACGTGCCCTTTGCTTAGCCCCTCCCTAGGAAATCTAGGACTTGCTAGGTCATTTTAACCAAGTTTTCCAGAACTTGAGAAGTCTCAGAGGGGACCATGTTCATAAAAATGAACCTCTTGGAAGGGAAGAAGGTCCAGCCCTTCAAGCATTCCCAGTAAAGAAAACCCAACAGCATAAGATGAACCTCTATCAGACACTAGAGAATCCACACTGCATTACTTTAGCTTGCATTTAATCATAGAAACATAGAATGTTTTGGGTTGGAAGGGACCCCCAGAGGTCACCCAGCCCAACCCCCCTGCAGGAGCAGGGACACCTTTAACCACATCAGGTTGCTCACAGCCCCATCCATCCTGGCCTGGAATGCTCCCAGGGATGGGGCCTCCACCACCTCTCTGGGCAACCCCTGCAGGGTTTCACCACCCTCATTGTAAAGAATTTCTGCCTTAGATCCAGTCTAACCCTACCCTGTTTTAGTTTAAAACCATCCCCCCTTGTCCTGTCCCAGCTGGCCCTACTAAAAAGCTTGTCCCCCCCTTTCCTCTGGGCCCCCTTGAAGCCCTGACCGGCCGCACTCAGCTCTGCCCGCAGCCTTCTCTTCTCCAGTGGGAGCCGGGCGCCAGCCCTCGCATCATTTTAGTAGCCCTCCCCTGGCCCCCCTCCAACAGTTTAAGAACAGGCCCATTTTGCAGGAGTAAAATAAAGTGTAAAAAAAAAAAAAAAATAACCTGAATCTGAGAACTGCAGAAGGGCAGGAGGGTGGCTGGCAGACGGGAAGAAGAAGGGGTGCTGCTGTTGTACGCCCAAACGTCCTCCTTCCCGCTGCACCTGCAGGGTGGAGGACCGTCCTCAACGGGATGGGAGGGCCGGGGCGGGAGCAGAGCTCATGGTGAATCCGTGGCCACGGGGTGACGAGCATCGGTCCGGCGCTTCGCCGCAAAGCGTGGGCACCCTTGGGATGTTCGGCACCGAACCA